AATGAAATAGAAGCAACAGCAAAAGCTTGACTTGGAATTTGGGAGGCCATTTTCTAATGATGAATAAAGTATGACCATGGGAACTGAGTAGAGAGAAAGACTACTGAAAGTGAAAACATAATGGACTGATGAGTCCAGTGTTCAAGGGTCATCTATATTGGTAATTCAGAAAGATGACAAGAAAGCCATTCTAGTATTGGTAGTAAGAGTGAATTCAGTAAATATTTAGGACTCCATAACCTGATGACATATGCAGAGAAAGCAAGACCACAAAGCAGCAAGATGAGCACAAAATAAATTTATACCACCCCCAAATATATATTATAGTTCAGATTATATGGTAGGAAGGACAGGCAATCCTGGTTTAGGAGGCTGACAAAGGAAAGCACATCTGGGTTTCAGTTAGATAAGGGAGACAGAAGGATATTCAGTGATGAGGTTGGCATGCCAGGGACAGTAGGTAGTAGTACGTGAGTCCTTGAGATTAGGAAAGTCCAAGAAGGGTAGAAGATTGGGTAAGGTAAGCAATGCCACTCACATGAGTAAGACTCAGGGGCACAATGAGATAATGCACATTCTCTGGTTCTTTTAAAGTTTCAGCTTCTCAAGAGTTGGAGTCTTGGTTTGGGTAGTGAAGTGAGTAATCTTGAGAGTTTTAACAATAATCTTTTGAGAGCACGAGCCTAGAAGTTTCTTTTATAGACTTCCTTGAGCAAGGCCACAGTTGGACAGAGGCAGGTCCTACCAGACACTGATTAGTCTCAAGTAACTTTTTCCTAAGAGCTACTGCTGGAGGAGTCAGTGTCTGAGCAGAGGAGAGGAGAGAAGGGAAGAGTGGGTGATATTGGAGATCTTATGAAGGGCTAGAGAACAGCTATGATAATGAGTATGAGAAGGGACTCGAGGTGGTTTAAGAGATCCCCATGGACCCAGACTGTGTCAGGGTTGTTCTTCCTTTATGAAGTTACCTTATTGCCCACAGGGCCTGCTAAGAAAAGATGACCAAGGCTAGAAACTGCGACTTGTTCCCATGAGATCAAGTATACATTTGAAGAAATTTCAAGACCCTGCTAAAAGCCTCTAGCATGCCCCAGGGACTCTTCATTCCCACAATTGTAGAAATACTGTATCCTCCCACTTCCAAATATTTTTGTTATTCAGATTGAGTGATTTCAAGCCAACATAGGTCATCCACAAACTAAGAGTGTCAAATATGTTTTCTACCGAAAGTACTCTTTTATTTATTGGTATAGTGTTTAGTCTTAAAGTAAACTTTATACAACTTAGAACATCTGAGAAGAGAGCCTCACTTTATCAGATTTGTCTGTGAACATGTTATGAGGATGATTCTCTTTATTTTTTATGATATAGAGGGATCATCTCATCCTGGTTAGCAATTTCCCTATAGGACAGAAAGAAGCTGGATATAAGCAAGCATTGTCTTCACATTTTTTTCTCCCTGATCTTGACAATGGATCAAGTTTTTACATCAACTGCCCCTCAATGATGCTCTAGATCCTAGAACTGTAAGGTGAAATAAAGCCCTTTCTTCCCCTAAGGTGCGTTTTTGTCAGGATATATTATCACAGCAACGGAAATTGTCTTATTTAGGGGTTCTATTTCTGTGATAAAACAATTTAACCAAAAGCAGCTTGAGGAGGTAAGGGTTTACTTTCACATCCACTGCCGTGTCATAGTTCATCATAATAGGAAATCAGAGCAGAAACTCAAACAGAGCAGGAACTTGGAGGAAGAGCTCACGCTGAGGCCATGGAGGAGTGCTGTTTACTGGCTTGCTCCTCATAACTTGCTCAGCCTGCTTTCTTATAGAACCCAGGACCACTAGCCCAGGGATAGCATCACCCACAATGGGCTGGGCCCTCTTGCATCAATCCTTAATTTAAAATAATGTCCCATAGGCTTTTCCTTAGGCCAATTTGATGGGGACATTTTCTCAGTTGAGGTTCCACTTCCCAAATGACTCCAGCTTGTGTCAAGTGGACATAAAATCAGCCAGGATAGCACCAAAACCAGAACAACTGGTGTTTTGTTTCCTTCACTTGGCAATGCAGTCCTTGACAGGATAGTGATGAAAAAAAGACAAAAATAGAAAGAAGAGCTAGCAAATATGTGGGCGTTTTGAATAGATTTCCTATTAATCTTCCCTATGAAGTAGTTATTTTACAACTATTCCAGATGTGAAGGAATGTGGTCTAAGAAAAGTTTGAGAATTCCTTCAACGTTCAGAAGGCAAAGAAACTGAGGTGAAAGTCAGGGCTCTGTGAGCTGTCAGATATGCTGTTTTAAACACATAAGAATCAAGAATGGGATTGGGTGAGGTAGGTGGCTCAGTGGGTAGAGGCAACTGGCTACCAGGCCTGAAGACCTGAGTTCAGGCCTCAGAACTCAGATGGCGGAAGGTTAGACCAGACCTCTGAACTCCTTATCTTTTCCATGGCTTTCACACACACACACAAATAAATAGATAGATAGATAGATAGATAGATAGATAGATAGATAGATAGATAGATAGATAAATGAATGAATGAATGAATGAATAAATAAATAAATAAATAAATAAATAAATAAATAAATAAATAAATAAAAAAGAAAAATTAAACAAAACAGGCAACAAGAATGCTGCCCAAACTAACTGGAGTTCCCTTTCCCAAGACCCTTTGCCCTGGCCCATGTGTTACTCTGGAGACGGTTGTGTAACACAGGCAAAACCTGTGATGATTGTCACGGCATGAGAGTTTCACGTTTCCTAGCATTGCTATTGGCTGATGTGAAAGGGAACAGTTGGGTTGATGTTGTTCAAACCAGAGAAAACTCAAATAGAATCTCCATGGAACCACTTGTTTGCTCCTTTTGATGGTCTTCAACATTCTGAGAATTTGGCAACATTTTGGTACATTTGTGTTTTCTTTTTTCAACATATTAGCTTTTTGTACAAAGTGAAGATCTGGCACATAAAGTTTTGCACCTTTAAAATTTTAAACATGATGTAAACAACCATCCACATTAGTGGGTCTCTTTATACACGCAGGGATCAATGCCATGGCCATTAAAGTAGAAGGATGTGGGGAGAGAAACCACTGGATGTTTCAGGTTCTGGGAACAACATAATATAGGCTTAGGCTACCTCCTAGTGTGAAGTGAAACTGGCCAGACCTGGGTTTCAAATGTTCCTGGAAACAGGGGTTTCTAAAGGAGGCAGCAGGGCTCCTGAAACACATCTTTCTCTAACGAGTCTAAGGATATCTCAGGATATCCTTGAGCACAAGTTTGGAATTTTACTTCTTGTGAAATTTTGCATTGTCAAAGCTGATGCTCTGATCCTCCCTCATACCCACTGAATGCAAGGTACTGCCAAAGACAACTTTTTCTTTAAATTTTAAAGAGTCAAAACCTATGTGAAATCAAATAACTATGCTTTAATGCTGATCCTGGAGCTACTTTCTCTAGTGTTCTCAATTCTAGTATACCAGACAACTACTGCATGAAGTCTGAAATATCTGATCTGTATTATTTGTGCCTTGAATTGTTGTCATTTCTTTTTAATTTGCTATACAGGGTATCCTAAAGTTAACATTCCTGAATGGAATGTCCACCTTTGAGTCCTTATTTTTAACTATTTGAAAATTTTTCATCTTTAGATTTAGAATGTAAAAGTAATATTTACCATAAGCATCAGTCATTTTTACAGTAAATTTACAGCTGTACTTGTGAATGTACTTCACCTTATGGCACAATTTAAATATATAAAGTGTGTAAGGGCAATGTTACTGATAATTGCATCTGGAGTGCTTGCCTGAACTTAAAAAGAGAATAATGAGATATTTGCAGTGAGCCTGAATGTTTGCCTTTATCAGACACCCATCGCAGATGGCAGTTTATATGCCATGTGATTAGTGATCAGGCACCAATACCAGGGTGCTAGGAATGCTGCTGAATCCTGGCTTTTCAGCCATTTCTCTGAATTTAAAGATTGATCTGTTGTTGTTTGTTTTTGCTTTTTACTCTTTTGCTCTCCGGTCTTTGGTCTTTTGTGGGGCCCACCACCCAGTTCGCAATTAAATCACACATGGAAGTTTATTCTTAATTATAAATGCCCGGCCTTAGCTTGGCTTGTTTCTTGGCAGCTTTTCTTAACTTTAAATTATCCCATCTATCTTTTGCCTCTAGGCTTTTTCCGTTTCTTATTTCTGTATATCTTATTTTCACCCTTACTTTGTAATTGGCTGTGTGGCTGTGTGGCTGGCCCCTACCATCCTCCTCTCCTTGTTCTCTTACTTTTCTTCTTTTCCTCCCAGATTTCTCTTTCTATTTATTCTCTCTGCCTGCCAGCCCCATCTGTCCTTTGATGTGTCTTGCTATTGGCTACTCAGCTCTTTACTAGACCATCAGGCGTTTTAGACAGGCAAAGTAACACAGATTCACTGAGTTAAACAAATGAAATATAAAAGAATGCAACACATCTTTGCATCATTAGACAAATGTTCCACGGCATAAACAAATGTAATGCATCTTAAGATAACATTCTACAACACTGATTTATTGCTACTTGAAACATATGTTATGACAATAATTTATGTAAAAAAGGATGGGTTTGAATCTGAACTTTGTAAAATGAATAAATAAAAATGTTTACATGTTTTTTTAACACCTATCATGTGGTCAAAGCTCAAAGACTAGCATGACATAAAGGTAAGTTTGTTGTCAAAGTTCAATTTTTCTGTTCTCTGTTCATATCTCGGAACACAACATTGAATCCATCAATGTGAATGTGGCCTTGTGACTAGCAAAGCCAAGTTAATTCCTGGTCTGACTTTCCATAGCAAAGAAACTCTTCTGCCAAAATCAACAGGAACACTGCTTCAGTAGGTGAGCCTGTCTCAGTGAGATGGTGACTTTAGATGGCTCCATTGCTTCTAGAACCCTCCTTCTGGCTGAGTCAAACCTCATTGTTGCTGCTTTGTCTGCTTGTGTGGTTTTAGTCAGGTCACAGAATCACCCTCATGATGATGGAGAAGTTACAAGGCTCTGATACTCCTGTAGCAGTCCTGGAAAAGAGCAAGAGAGAGATCCTAAGGCATACCAAGAGGGCATGGACACCTCTGGATGGCCAGCTGCTTCCTGGCTCTGAAGAAGAAAGCACAATGGTCTCTATGCACATGCAAGGTAAGAGGGGCCTTCTAGGCATCTAGAAAATGTCCTGTCATGGGTGGTGAGAGATGTGAGGCTTTTGCTTGGGGGCAAGTGACTTCTAAGGATTTGAACTTGGCATTAAAGAAACAAGTGTTCCTGACATGATGGCAAGCAGTTCTATGAAATGGGCATATCTGACCCCCCATGGACCTCAGCACAAATAGACCAGCGAAGGGATAAACACTGCTTCCTTTCCACTCTAACACCCACATGCTAAATCCCAAAATTCTGAAGATGCATCCAGGCTGGAAACATAAAGCTTCTCCCTCCCCTCCCCCACTCCACTTCCTCCTTCCCCTCCTCATACCCTTGGTGCTCTCCCTCATGGTCCTCTCCCTAATGATGTTCCCCCTCCTAGTCCTCCTCCCTCTCACCTCCTCCTCCTCCTTTGTGCATATGTGTGTGAGAGAGACAGAGAAATAAAGAGATTGTCTTTCACTGAACCTGGGGCAGTGCAATTCAGCTAGACTGGCTGCTAGTGAGCTCAAGGGATCCTTGCCCTAGAGTGCAGCCATGACCTGATCTTTTGTGGGTGCTGGGGATCCAAAGGCAGTTCCTTATGTTTGCTCATCAAGCACTTGCCCTGAAACCTATCTCTACAGCTCTCAATGAACCTTGCTTCAGAATACCATTTCATTGAATGTTTTTTTGGCTTGAATAAGGCACTGATGATCATTTTAATAACATACAGAGTAATAAATAAAACATTCCCACTCTGTCCACCCCTGGCACCACAAATCAATACTACCCATAATCTCACAGGCTTATGGGCTGTTTTGGTTCACCTGATAACTTATGTGAGGATTATTCAAATATTTTACAGACAAAGTCAGACTGAGCCCAGTGTATGAGGTGGTAGCCAACAGGAACTAGAGCAAATGTCTGTCAGGAGCTGCTCCCTTGTCTTCTTTCCTTTTTCATTGCCTATTTTTGAGCCAGTGCTAAAGATCCACCTTAAAAGGCTGATGCCTTTTTAACACAGGTTGCCTTTGGAAATCCTGGGACTCTGCTGCAATTTGTCCCTGGAATGAATGCAAATCTGGTTTCTAACCTGGCAGAGAACTGCTTGCAAATAAACATTGCTGGCTAGCTGCCTTAGGTAAATGTTGGGATTTAATAAGGAGAGGTTCCGTGGTGATTTAGAACCAACAAGAGAGAAACAAAAGTCTCATATGCTTTTCTTCCCATTGTATTCACACTAGGTAATTTTATAGTCATTCTAACATCTCTCACCCTTCATTGATTCATTTTGCTAGTCCTTAACATTTTGTTCCTTTCTTCTTAAGTTATAGTCTTTTGGCAAGTTTACATCCATTCTTGGAAGAGGCTGATTGTGGAAACCAGGAGGTTGTGCCTCTAGGGGAAAAATGAATATGCTTACATGAACATGTGACTAACTATGTAGGAAACAGAGCTGCTGAGTGTGGCTGATGATAGAGTGGGTCATTGTAGCTGATTGTGTTTTGACTAACAGATCTGTTTTTTTTTTTTTTCTTTATAGAAAATTCCAAACAGGAAAGTATCCAGCAGTGGCTGGACTCTGGATTCTTGTAAGTGGTGCTTTATTTTATTTTAGCATGTGTGTGCACCTTATACATTTCTCTTGCAAAGCTCCATGAAAATAATGTGGGTTAACCCTCCCTGGGATGGGCTCCCAGCTATGGGTTACCACAGTGGGAGAGGTATGATTTTCCTACTAACTGGGTAATTGAAGGATTACTATGTTCCTTCAAAAGCTATATGTCAATTAAAAAGTGCAAAAATAGAATCCTATTTGGAGCTGACTGTGTGTTCACTTTTTAAAGTCCTCTCAGTGAAATCTAAGTCTGATTTTCTGTTCAGTTTAATTACAAAAGCAACTCGGTACTAATGTATTTACACACAGTTTGGGGCTCACAATGCTTCTGCTTCTTTTTTAGTGTCTCTGTAAATGAAAACTTCCAGCAAGCCATCAACCATTCTGGTAAGTCAAGAAAACCCAGAGCATCTGCGCTTTGTAGAGCTGAGTAGATGTATGTGTGGAAAACACTCATGTTAATAGATCTTCCTCAAGGGAGACATAGAAGGGGCTTTCGGAAGTAAGTTGATCTTCTCGTTTGATTTTATAAGACTAGGACTCAGAAAGTGCAGCCACGCCCCCAGCAGGAGGTTATGGTCTGAAACCAGGGTCATTGCTACCATCAAACACTCAGACTATGCAGGAAACTCTCTGGGCCTATGCAGACATTTGCAAGGGTGTCCTTATGAAAACAAAATAGCTTAATTATTCATAATATACTATAGTTTTATTTCTAAACCTATTTTCTCTCTGGTGTTTTGGTATCAAAATTCTATTTCTATCTCTTCTCTAATGATATATTTATCCTAGAGCTGAACAAATGACTAAATCCTAAACCAAACAGCACAAATATTTCTGAGACAGGAAATGTATCATACTGTCTTCCTAGGATTTGATAATAACATTATTAAAATAATGAGTACAGGTCTCACGGATTCCATCTTCATTAAATGAAAATACCCAACTTCATGGGATCTAAGATTCCTCTATTCTAAAATGTGCTTATTTTATAAATACCACTGGATGGATCAGATGAAATCTTGTGACTGAAAATGAAAATCAACATTCACTTCAAGCCTTGATCATAGGTGTTAAAATAAATAACATACTAGAATTGAGCAAATGCCTAAAGAATGTGTTCAAATATGACATAAATTAGGAATATAATGATTAGAGGGACGTCTGTTAGTCTTATAGTAACTCACATTGATGCTCTTAATTATTTCACATCATCGTCATCATCAAGTAAGATTGACTACTACTTGCCAAGCAATTTAGATTGGGACATTATACTTTAAAGTTTAAACTGACACTATATTTGAAATTTTCTCCTTCACTGGGTTGCTTTATAGTTTATATTTATTTATATTTATACTTTACATTTATATTTATTTTTTATTCTTTGACAATGTCATCATGTACATAATGAATTTAGTCATCACCTCCTATTGCCTCCTGTTATCCTCAGTTTCTTCTCTTGTCATCTCCTTCTTTTCCCAGAAAGTTCCCTCCTATTTTCATGGCATGTGTGTATTCTACTGCATTTGATTAGGGTTGCTCACATAAGCTTGGGTGAAAAGTTGTTTACTAGATCATCCAACCAACCTGTGGCTACATGACTGAAGAAAGTGTTGTCCTTCCCTAAGAACCATTAAGTGCCAATAGTGCATCAGGGAGAGTTAGGCCTCATGAGCCCTTTCCTCTTCCATGATAAAATATTGACAGGCCCACTCTTGTGCGGGTCTCTAGACCTGAAGTGGGCTCACTGAACGAAGGCTATATCATTCTAAGAGAAGTCTTTTTCAACACACCTGACCATACTCTGTCCCCTCCATTCTGTCCATCCTTCTTCCTAGATAGACCTTTAGCCCCAGAGAGAACGCTGTGGATGACCGACTTTGGGCTAAGCACTCCGATGTCCTTTACTCTCTACACTGACTAGTTACATGTTTCTGCATTTACTGCTGTAGGCTGTAACAAGACAATTCTCTGATGACAAATAAGGAAAACACTAATCTATGGATAGAAACATGGGAGTTTAATAGGCAATTTGACCACATTTCATCTAAAAATGCTTTATATTTACCATGAAGCTTCTGTGATGTCAAAATTACTGAACATTTGTTTCCAATAAACTGAATATGGCAATCTCTCTATTCATATTAATTCAGACTCAAGGAAGAGACAAAAATGTAGGTACATTTCTCAGCATAGATCTGTCTTTGACTCTTGCTCATGTGATGTGGAGAGGCCTTTGGTTACACTGTATTAAAAACTTCACTTCCTGGAAAATACAGCTCCTGGTCTGGCCTCATCAGAGCCAAGCTGGTGAACTCTGAAGACACAGGCAGAGGGAAGCAGGGTCTCTGTGTGGATCTGAGATCAGAGGGGCACAGCTTCTATCTGGCAGTTCCTTCATCTTCAGCAAGGCCTTTAACAATAGAAGAGCTTCTACAAACAAATCGAGTTTTTGCTGTCCAAGGCCTTTCTCACTGATCACATCGTGAACTGATTCACCCATGTGGGAACAGAGCTGGTCTCATTCTTGTGCCACAGGTGAAGAGTCTCAGTGTTAAATGCCATGAGTTTTGGTCACAGAAGGTTAGTTTTGGGCCTCCCATGAGTCCGTATGTACATAAAGATGCACAGAGCTTAGGGAAGTCCAGAACCACACTGCGAAGTGTAGGAGAAGAAAAAATAAATTTCAGTGAAGGAAGAAAAGCAGTTGCTGCTAAGAAATGATGAGGATAAAACTCAGAAAACCCTGACAGGATATAAGGTGATGTCACATTATCTTCCTCCTTCCCACAGAGACAGTGGCTTAACACAGAAAGTCCTCCCTCTAACTAGAATGGATATGCTCCCTTGTCCCTTCTTTCCATATTAATTTTAATAATTGCAGAAGGCTGGGCAGCTGCCCTTCCCACTTATGTCCCAACTAACGCAGACTTCATGAATGATGCTCTCTCACCGTCTGCCCCATTTGCTAACAAATGTCACGGCACTGTAGCTGAAAACCCTGTGGCCTCCTTTAAGTCTCCCCAGAGTGTTGTCTACTAACTAGCAGGTGGTGACTTATAAGCAAGACTTGGGCAGCATTCGCTTTCTTTCTCTATTCCCTTTCTAAAAAACCCCACTGCCGAGTCCAGACAACCTCTCCTTATTGGTTTCTAACTGCACAGCAGTTGACTATGTGGGCTTGGTGTAGTACCACAGATCTACCCACACCATAAGCAGACACTCCGAGCCTCTTTGAGGACACAGTGCCGAGGACCACATCCATAAGATCCATCTCCCCAGACTGACGACTCACTCTTCATCTCACATGACATACTGAAACTGTAGACAGTGTCAGTTTGTGGCAAATTCATTGCCAGCACGCGGGAACAGACTGATTGTCACTACCCCCTGACTGTGAAAGTATGTACTTATTACAGTGTAAAGATGAGACAGTCAGGATTAACCAATGCTTCAACATGTAAAGTAACACAATTGACATGGTTGACACACCTACCCATCGTTGTGAGTGAAAAGGCCAGAGCCATTTCCCATGTCAGAAAAGCAGTTTCTGGAACAGATGTGGTGACAGTTACTACTTGGTGGATAGTTAATTCATTCATCTTCTTCAACATTCTGATTTTTCTACTTTTCTAGTGCTAGAAACTAAACACAAGGTCTTATGGGTACTAAGCAAGCAGCATAAAACTGGGTTCTATGCTAGACCATGTTCTTTCTTTAAAATAATTTCTTTAATTTTATTTTATGTGCATTGGTATGAAGGTATCAGATCCTCTGGAACTGGAGGTAGAGACAGTTGTGAGCTGTGTTGTGGGTCCTGGGAAATGAACCTGGGTCCTCTGGAAGAGCAGCCAGTGCTCTTAACTGGTGAGCCATCTCTACAGACCCTAGGCCATGTTCTTTTAAGACATTAACTTGTTGCATAGCTCAAGCTGGCCTTGAACTTTATTCCTCTCCCTCCAGAACTCTAGGATTTCAGGTATGTGCCAATCCTTAGACAGGTCCCCAGAGGAGTAAATGGGTTTATTTCCTGAAGGGATATGTTAAATCATAAAATTTAGAAAACCAATTACAAGCTTGGTGCTCTGTATCACAAGAAAGGATCAAAGTAAACCCAGTTGAAGCCCGTTAAAGCCTGTGAAGGGAATATATGTAGAGTGAAGACTGTTGTTTCCTGCTTCTTAAACAGTGGCTGTGACTCTACATGGGGTCACACAGCTGTGGGAGTCCCCCAAAAACCTGGCAACAGTAAAAGGTTTCTGAATATATAATGATAAAGACATCCCACAGCAAAAACTTCATTCCGGATCAAATATGTAATGGAACCCAAAGTGTTGAGGCAGCACACAATCAGATTTGTGTCACATGACTTCACCTTGGTTCTCACCACGCATCAAGCTCATGATGCAATGCCAACGAATGTTTCATAGACCACCCTGGAATGCTGTGGGACCACTGTGTGTCATGAAGTGCAGTGAATTACCGTAGATAGAAAGCTTTCTGCCTTTATAGGAGCATAACAATTTAATTATAGGATGTAAAACTTTCGACATTTTCCTACAATCATTCCTCTGTGTGTAAGTATCAGATAGTTTGTCTTTGGATATGTTTTGCTAGAACATTTGATCTTAAAAACTGATGTTTGACTTGCTGACTTGAGTTTTATTTAAAAAAAAAAATCATTCAATGAACGTGGCCTTGAAAATAGGACAGAATCTCCCACAATATCTGAAATGGCTCTAAACATGTTTCTGCCATTTTGTACTGTGTATTTATGCAACAAATGTTCTCATCATGGCTAATTATTAAATCATAACATCATTCATCTCCCCAAAACACCGAATGCTCTGTAATTCCACTCTGTGGCAAATATTTCAGAAAAGGTTTAGTTCTATACATAGTATTAATAGAACACATCAATCTTATTAGTGTGAAATTTTTATTTTATTTTAAAAATGATAAAGTTATATTTTGTATAGGAAAGAATTATTTTAAAATAAACTTTTTTTTTTCAAGACAGGGTTTCTCTGTGTAGTTTTGGTGCCTGTCCTGGATCTCACTCTGTAGACCAGGCTGGCCTCGAACTCACAGAAATCTGCCTGGCTCTGCCTCCCCAGTGCTGGGATTAAAGGCATATGCCACCACCACCCAGCTTAAAATAAACTTCTTTATAACTTATTATGGATGAATGTTTGGTTGTGTACTTATTTTATATACCCAGGTGTCTTAATCATTGTTCTGTTACTGTGAGAGATACCATGACCAAAGCAACTCTTACAAAAGGAAGAGTTTAATTGGGGCCTTGCATAGAGTTTCAGAGGTTAATCCATTATCATCACGGTGGCGAACATGGTGGCAAGCATCATGCTGGAGAAGTAGCTGAGAGT